TTAACTCTGACTTGTGTTAATAACAGAGAAACTTAGATTCATTGTTATGTATATTAAAATGGGGCGGGGATTTTGCAGTTCATCAGCCCTCTAAATTCTGATAAACAACAACATTCAGCTTTCCTTGCCATTTGCTATGGTGGCTAGTCTTACTGGAAGATATTGTTCATTAACATATCAAAAGCTACACATTTCATTTTCATCTTGATGTAACTTTTAGTGCATTTTCAAAATATGTCTGCCTTTATTTAAAGTTAAAAGTAATTTATTGCCTTAAAAATGTTTTTCAACCATCGATTTTTCAACCTATTAATGCAATAATATAATAAGTTAAGAGTGTTATATAATATAAGTTAAGAATGTCATAACTTGGCATTATTTTGAAGTGGTGATCAGGTAAATTAAAGTTTGGACAGGGAAAAAAATGAAAATAAAAATGTGTGGCCCTTTCTGGAGATTATATTGGAAGATTATGCAGTATATTTTGAGTATTTGAATTTATTATTTATTTATTTATTTATTTACAGCATTTATATTCCGCCCTTCTCACCCTGCAGGGGACTCAGGGCGGATTACAGTGTACACACATATGGCAAACATATGCCAATTTTGACATACAATATATACATACAGCATACAACATATACATACACACACAAAGGCTATTTAACTTTTTCTGGCCGCCAAGGGAGTGCAAAGGTCGACAACAGGCTACACAATTGGTTGGAAACCCACTCCAACCCGGGCTGGCTTCGAACTCATGACCTTTTGGTCAGAGTGATCTTAATGCAGCCGACACTCAGCCAGCGTGCCACAATCCCGGTGCCACAATCCCTGTTGACCTATACAGCCTGAACCCGAGAGTCTCAGTGGACCACAATTTATTATTTTATTTTATTTATTTATTTTATTGCAGTTACTTATACCCCGCCCTTCTCACCCCCTAGGGGGGACTCAGGGCGGCTTACAAACAAAGGCACAAATTCGATGCCTGTCAAAATATACAGCATATATAAAACAGTATAAACATTTAGCAGCATTAAAACACATCACTACATAATATAATAAAAACAGTTTCATGCACAGTGAAATTCAGAGTTCCGAAATGTCCATTCATTCCAACAATTCCTGCTCATCAATGGGTCCTTATTTTAGCTGCCAGAATGTCCAAAAGCTTGGTCCCAGATCCAGGTCTTCAGTTTTTTTCTGAACGACAGAAGGGAGGTCGCTGATCTGATCTCCCCGGGGAGTGAGTTCCATAGGTGAGGGGCCACCACCGAGAAGGCCCTGCTCCTCGTCCCCGCCAGCCTCGCTTGAGATAGAGGCGGGGTCAAGAGCAGGGCCTCCCCAGATGATCTTAAACTCCGAGGTGGGACGTAGAGGGAGATCCGTTCGGACAAATACACTGGGCCGGAACCGTATAGGGTTTTGTAGGTTAAAACCAGCACTTTGAATTGTGCTCGGAATTGGATCGGCAGCCAGTGGAGCTGATGTAGCAGGGGGGTGGTGTGCTCCCTGTACATCGCTCCAGTGAGCAATCTGGCTGCTTCTCGCTGGACTAATTGTAGTTTCCGAGCAGTCTTCAAAGGCAACCCCACGTAGAGTGCGTTGCAGTAATCCAACCGGGATGTGACAAGAGCGTGGACCACCGTGGCCAGATCTGACTTCCCAAGGTACGGGCGCAGCTGGCGCACAAGTTTTAATTGTGCGAAAGCTCTCCCAGCCACCGCTGAGACCTGGGGTTCCAGGCTCAGCGATGAGTCCAGGATCACTCCCAAGCTGCGAACCTGCGTCTTCAGGGGGAGTGTAACCCCGTCTAACACAGGCTGTAACCCTATACCCTGTTCGGCCTTACGACTGACCAGTAGGACCTCTGTCTTGTCTGGATTTAATTTCAATTTGTTAGCTCTCATCCAGTCCGACACAGCGGCTAAACACCGGTTCAAGGTCTGGACAGCCTCCTTGGTGACAGGTGGAAAGGAGTGACAGATTTGGACATCATCTGCGTAAAGATAACATCTCATTCCGAAACTCCGGATGATCTCCCCCAGCGGCTTCATGTAGATGTTAAATAACATCGGGGACAGAATTGAACCCTGTGGGACTCCACACAACAACGGTCGCGGAGCCGAACAGGTGTCACCCAGTAACACCTTCTGGGTCCGTCCCTCAAGGAAGGATCGGAGCCACTGCAAAGCAGTGCCCCCGAGCCCCATGTCCATGAGGCGCCCCAGAAGGATACCGTGATCGACGGTATCGAAGGCCGCTGAGAGGTCCAGCAGAACTAACAGGGACACACTCCCCCTGTCAAGCTCCCTGCGAAGATCATCTACCAAGGCGACCAAGGCTGTCTCAGTTCCATGTCCCGGCCTAAAGCCAGACTGTGCCGGATCTAGATAATCAGTGTCTACCAGAAACCCCTGGAGTTGTGTTGCCACCACACGTTCCATGACTTTGCCCAAATAGGGGAGATTGGAAACTGGCCGATAGTTGTCGAATTGAGTGGGATCCAGTGATGGTTTCTTCAACAGCGGTTTTATAATAGCTTGTTTTAAGCTCGCTGGAAATTTTCCTTCCTGTAAGGAGGCATTAACCATCACCTTCACCTACTCCGCCAAACCCCCTCTGGCTTCCTTGATCAGCCAGGAAGCGCAGGGGTCTAGGATGCATGTGGTGGGTCGCACCTCTCCAAGGATCCTGTTATTTACTTCATTTGTCCATATTGCAAAGTCTCAATACGGAACTTTATAGTCTATTTTGGTATTAGGCTCCTGTTAGGTGTAACATTCAGGAAAAAAATGTGTTTCTTGTTATATGTAATTTCTTTTGATTTTGATAAGTCAGCAAGGTTAAAATTGATTTCAGTTCCAGAAAGAATTGTGTAATACATTATGTTTAATGTAATGAAAGAACTACTGTAAATAGCTCTAGGGTTTGTTCATGTAAATTAGGTACTGGGAAAGAAAATGAGCTAAGTACGGATTAAAGTTCAGATTCTACTTTGGGGGGGGGGGTGAATTGCAAGCAGTTTAATAGTATATAGGCACTTCTTGAATCACCAACTCATTCACAGGACCCTGTTTTCTATGCAAATGTTGTTGTAGCAGCTCATATTACAGCTAATGAAGGGTGTGTGCTTTTTATCGAGGCCTAATTGTGGATAATTTTGGTTATAAACCTCTGTTTCAGTACTGTATTTCATGACAGATTTATTATATCAATAATCAGTGTACTGAGTAAGAATATAGTACTCTGGCTACCATGGAAGTAATGCTGTCTTTTTGAGTTCTTAATTGTGTTTGATCTGTGTTAGTTTTGTTTTTTCTTTGTCTAGGGAATAGTAATTCTTAATGTCATTCTGTCGTAGGATACACTATGCTAATCTCATTACAGAACTGAGAATGACACGTATTGCATAGGTAGTCTTGCTGCTTAAAGAAAGGAGATGATTTAGCTGTTCATTGTGCATCTCTTACAACTATTTTAATTATTGAGTGTTGCCAAATATCCGAATTAAATGGATGACGCAGGAACTTGACTGGCACGTGTAACACCAGTGCAGCCATGCCCTGATCACAGAGGGCTGAGTCAGGCATAAAGAAAAAGTGTGAAGGAGAGTCGATCTTTTGTATTTAAACTACTTCAAAGTAATGTTAAACTTACTGTATTTCCTTGTAAGGTTGAAATGTGGAATTGTGGATTGCTTTTAAAAAGAAATGAGGATAAAATAAAGGCTAACCGTTATTTCAGATGTTAGTTCATAAATATTTCTAAAACCAGTCACACTGATTGAAATACAGTGAATCCTGTGGCCCTCCACAGGTTGTTGAACTGCAACTGTCAATTGCAATAATCTCACAGCTTTGAATTTTATTTAGCAAATAACATGCATGCTAAAATCTTTGTGAATTATCTTTTGGTATATAAGTAGCATTGTTATGTTTTTATTTGGAAGCTATATGGCAGTGGTTTCCCAGCATTTCATCTGTATCGATTCTGCAGGATATGCTTGTTAAAATAATTGTGTTTTATTACATTTTATATCAGTGTGTCCTGATAAAATTTGTTTTGTCTAGATTGCACTAAAAGTCTTTCACATCTTTTTAAAAATTCTACTTGAATTTTCTGAGCGTATTTAAAAATATGTGGTAACTGAATTTTTATTTACCATATATAACTTTGAGTGCATCTTCACTGTAGAATGAATGCAGCATGACACCACTTTAACTGTTGTGGTCCAGTGTTTTGAAATTCTAGGATTTGTAGTTTGTATCTGCACTCTTGGTCAGATGAGGCTTTGTAAAACTACAACTCCCATGATTCTATGGCATTGAGTGTTTCCAAACAGCGTTAGTTCTACAGTGTAGATATACCCCTAGAATGCACATTCTCTTCATTCTCTTTTATACTCTGGTAATAAATGGTTTGCGGTTGAATACAACTATTAGAATTCTTTCAGAACTTACGTACTCAACCCAATCCTGTGCATATTTGTGAAAAAGATCAGTTTTTATTGGCAGTTGAATAGCAAAGGATGTATGCATATGATCAAAAACTTAGAAATGTTTTTTTATTTTCTGTATGAAGGTCTAAACTTTATATTTTATGTATGAAGTTTAAACCTTCACATGCAGTTTAAAACATCATGTAAAGAACCTGTGCTGAAATTCATGTCATTATCTCACTATAGGTTGTGTGTGTGTTTTGCCTAAAGTTCTGTTTGAAAAACTATAAAGTGCTTGAGATGATACAAAATCACTCTGCCTGTAGATAATGACCAAAAGCAAGTACTTCTATAATTTATTTGAAAGACAATAATATGCTTTTTTAATGTTGCATTTCATTGCAATTTCATGTTCAATTCTTCGGCCCCAAGGGCTACCTTTGAAAGGCTGGGCCTCCGTGATTTACAAGTGGCAGCATCATACAGTTTTTCTACATAAATTGCAGAGTTCTTGTGACCAGCTTTTAGACACGCTGTTTTGTCTTTTTTATTCCAGATATGCCAATATTTGGTCTTTGTCCAGCGCATGATGATTTCTATTTGGTGATGTGTAACCACTGTAATCAGGTCGTGAAACCACAGGCATTTCAATCACATTATGGTAAGTGCTGAACTTTGTTTTAATCTTTAGGGGTGAGGTGAAGCCCAGATTAAGCCTGGCAATTTTCAATTATCACTCTCTCTCTGATCTTTAAATCTGGTGTTGCATATGTTGTTATATAAATATATTATAAATATAAATATGAATTTATTTTTATGGGAAATTATAAAATCCATGCCTGTAAATTTTTGGTTTTTTTCTTCAAGGCGTAATCAAGTTGGGTGGTGAAAATTAGTTATGTAATGTCTACATCTGAATGCTAGCATTGTTCTTCTCTCCTGTGATTTCAAGAAATGAGCGTTGATTAAGTGTGATATATGTTGCTTTCTTACATCATCAGAATGGAATAAAATTCCCGCTAAGGAAAATCTACTAGTAACATTTGGAACCACTTAAACAAGTCGAATAATACAGTGGGGTTTTTTTTGTTTGTGTTTTTGAAAAAAGGTGAACTGTAACATAACAGTATGGATTTTTTAGTGGAAGCCTGTTGCTTTCAGTAGTTTGCTACAAAGTGATACTAGCTCAGATGCTTATGCTATGTATGTATTGCATTCAGTTATTTTGTTATTTATCATATGCAATTAAGGGAGAATTTCAGGCAATTTCAAAGTAACCAGTTGCTCTTCTAGCTATTTACATTATCATCCGCAATTAGCCTTTTATATTGTTTTAGCATGTTTTGGTTGTTCTCAGCTATGATACAAATCCAATGTGACACCCATTTGGAATGTGTGCCATTACTCCTTGCACCTGCCCATGCCACTGAAAAGCTGTGCCAAAGAGTTTCCCAGGTCTTCAGGGCAAACTGTTAAGGCATCTGAGGGCAGAAGAAGAAAGCTCCCTTACCTCTGCTGGCATAAATTCAATGCTGAGCTTTTGTTTTAGACTGCATTGTCTCTAATGTGATAGTTCTGTCAACATCAAGCAGTTGCTAATACTGTATTCAGATGTTGCCTCAATATCAGGCTTTTTACGCAATCATGTTATGCTTGTTATAACCTGCTATAATAGTAGTGGTAATTCAGTGTAGTGTTAAGAAGTTTGCATTAACAGGTGGCCTTAAATACACAAAGATATGCAGGTAAATTATAATATAATCATTGTTTCTAAGTATGTCTTATGCTTCTCTTAATCTTATGCAAAGGATAGTGTTGTGGTCATGTTCTTCTAGAAACCAGTCCACAGGCTCCCTCTCCCCATGCTAATACTAAACATATTAAGAATTTTTAAATCCATTGGGGAGATCTTATTTTCAGGTTTTGTTTTGAAAACAATAGACACATTTAGAAAGATTAAATAATGCAATATTGGCATGCTTTTAAGATTGAGAGTTATGTTGTTACTTTAGGCACATAAAATGCACTGTGTATAACTTGGCTTGATATCAAAATATCCTATTTGAGACTGTGGTTTCCAGGAAATAATTACAAATTGAGTTTAGTTTTTAAAATATTATTGTTAGAAATGGAGCGACTAGGTCATGAACTGTAAGGAAAACCTGAATAATAAAAAACCCACTTTACATTTGCCAGTTTATGAGGAGTGGGCAGAAAACCCTATTAAATATTGAGGAAACTATTAACCTGAATAAGACAATGAATATTATATTGGTTCTGTTGATTTTCCAAGCACTTATCAAGCACTCATTCCCATCAAAAGAACTGGAAAAAAGCAAGCCAAAACCAGCAGTTATCGTAATTTAATACATAATCTTACATAAATGTCTACTTGTACTATAGTTTTTCATAATAAGGTAGATAGAGTAAATATATGATTGTATTATCTTAAGTACTGTATTGATATTTTTCAAAGAAAATATTCAATAATACATATTTTTCACCATTTTTCTACAGGAATGGGTTTTGGGGGGAAACCAAGTTTTTTTTGGGGGGGGGGGCTTTTGCCTGGATCCCCCCCCCCCACCCAACCTTCACATATCTAACCAAGGCAATGTTTGTATCTGTGAGCAATTCTTGTAGCTTGTGAAATGTTTGTACAACACGCCTGCTGCAATCACATACTTTTGAAGTTCATATCTATTTTGCACCCTGTTGTTGTTAGCTACTGTCAGGTTGACTCCAATTTATGGCAACTCTATGACTCAAGAGACCTCTTAGTCACCCTAAATAAGCAGCCCTAGTCAGGTTTTGGAGACTCGGGGCTGTGGCTTCCATGATTGGGTCTATCCATCTGTAATCTGGTCTTCCTCATTTCCTCCTGCTTTCTAAGTTAACCACACATTACTTTCTTTCCAAGTTAATCCTGTCTTCTCATGCTATGCCCAAAGTACAATAGTCTCAGCTTAGTGAACTTGGGTTCTAGAGAGAGTTTAGACTTGATTTGCCCTATGATCCATTTATTTGTTTTATGTTCAGGGCATCTGTAGAACTCTTTTCCAGTACCATGATTCAGATGAGTTGATTGTCATCCTATCAGCTTTCCTTCACAACCATACATAGAAATTGGAAATGCCATATAATGGACAATCCTAACTTCAGTATTCAAATATACACCATGATACTTCAAGATCTTCTCTAATTCCTTTGTAGTTGCCCTTCCTAGTTTTTTTTTTAACTATAGTCTCCATTCTGATTAACAACTGAACCAAGGCATGGAAAATCTTGAACTGTTTCAGTATCTTCATTCTCTACTTTGACTTTATGTAAATCATATCTGGTCTTAATGCTTAGCTTTTGCCTTTGTACTTTTTCCCATGATTTTCTTCAGTAATCATTCCAAGTATTTTCAATTTTTGCTAGTAATATGGTATCATCAACATATCTTAAACTGTAGTTGTTTCTTCCTCTAATTTTCACACCTCCTTGCTCTGACTCTAATTCTGCTTTATGTTATTCTAAGCATATGATAATATGCAGCCTTCACTGATCCCTCTTGCCAATTCGAATTGTCCTCCATTTTCTGTTCTGATTGTAGCCTCTTGTCCTGAGTACAGGTTGTTTATCAGGATGATTAAATATTGTAGCATACCATTTATTTAAGAGTAAGGTAAAGGTAAAGGTAGTCCCCTGACATTAAGTCCAGTCATGTCTGACTCTGGGGTGTGGTGCTCATCTCCATTTCTAAGCCGAAGAGCCAGCGTTGTCCGTAGACACCTCCAAGGTCATGTGGCCGGCATGACTGCATGGAGCGCCGTTACCTTCACGCCGGAGCGGTACCTATTGATCTACTCACATTTGCATGTTTTCGAACTGCTAGGTTGGCAGAAGCTAGGGCTGACAGCGGAAGCTCACGCCGCTCCCCGGAATCGAACCTGTGACCTTTCGATCAACAAGCTCAGCAGCTCAGTGCTTTAACCCACTGCGCCACTGGGGGCTCCTATTTAAGAGTACTCCATAGTTTTCAATGATCTACACAGACAAAGGCTTTGCTATAATTTAGAAATCCCAGACTGATTTTCGTTCAATTCTTTGGTGTACACTGCAGTATGATCCCTATTGCCCCTTCCATTCCTGGACCTAACTTGAACATCTGGCATTTCTTGTTCCATACATGGTAAAAGTCTGTGTTGTACTGTTTTGAGTACCAATTGGCTTGCATGAGAAATTAATGCATTGGTCCTGTTGTTATTGCAGTCCTTGGCACCCCCTTTATTAAGGATTGGAATGTATAGTGAACATTTCCAATCCGTGGGCAGTTGTTTTGTTTTTCATATTTGTTGACAGATTTTAGTTAAAACTAGAATAGATTCTGTTTCTGTAGCTTGAAGTCGCTTTACTGGTATGCCATCTGTTCCTGGTAATTTATTTCTCCCAAGTGCTCAGAGTGCAGTTTCCACTTCACTTTCTAAATTTGTAGGTTCAGCTTCAAGTGTTCCTTCCTTGAATGAATCTGTCATCCTTTTATTTCTCTTGCAACCTATCCGTTTTTTGCTGTTTTCGTGATCATCTTGTTTCAAGTAATATGACAAGTATGTGCAGCCAGAATGTGTTTAACGTAATTCACTTTACCATTATTATTCTTTTAACTTGCATAGTAGTCTGGGTGCAAAAGTTCAGATTGCCTTCTGTTAGGATTGCGTGTTCCCCAATACGGAGGGTTACCTTTGTTCAATTTTTGGTTCCCCTGATTTTGCCTATGCTATGTAAAAAGAAGTTGTCAATATTTTTTAAAGCGAAACTGTTACTCCACGGGTTGAACCCATGTAGGAAGAAAAGTACCTTGCCCTTTCCCCCTTTGCTTCCATGCTCCTTTTTGTTTCCCTTTTGACTAAGGGGTGTGTTGTTGCACATCACTTTAGTCAAGTAGTAGTTACAGTCAGCTCTTACTTATCTCAAGTAGTCTTTCTGGTTTGCTTGTAAAGAGTACAGTTGTAATACAGTGCTTAAGAATTGCAAGTTGTTGCCTTAAGCAGTTGACAACTTTCTTCTTTCTATGTTTGTAATGAGCAAATATATAATTAATATGTGTTTGTGTTTTGTTTGCTAGTTTTGTTTAGTCAGTCTTTTTAATTTTACTTTTCAGTTTCAAGTCAGAGGCAAGCACAAAGAGTAGATAGCGTGTGAAAATCCCTTTTCCTATTTATTTCTGTGTACTCAGCACAAACCTGGAATTAGGGCCATATTTCTTCAGGTTGATTCAATTGGACTTGCTTCTGAGTAGACATATGTTAGATTTCAAGAGCATTTGTATCTGGCTGTCCATCAATGAGTACATTGTAGAGGCCCATCGAATTTCAGGTTCAAAACAGGTTTTGCCTCCAAAGTGCTACTGTATCTATCAGTTTTAGGCTATCCTTTTGTGCAGCATACAGGATGCAGACCATATGTAATACACAGGTGATGCAAACCACATAGCTTTATGTTAATTAAATCTAAATTACTGATGAGAGGTAACAGTATGTTATGTGATAACGATGACAATTTATTTAAAATGTATTGGTAATGTTCCAAAACAGTTCAAAATTCCCACAGGTGACATAAAAGCACAGTGAGAAGGTAACAATAAAACAATTAGTTATTTAGCATGAGACCAACTGC